CAGTCTTCAAGATAACAAGAAGGATGAAGACAACGAGAACAGAGACAACCGGCATAGACCGGACATCTATGTGTGTGTCTTGTGCGTGTGCAGATCTTGGATGCTTGCAGATTCGGCCATGGCCTCTCTGTATAAAAACTTGGTTTTGCAAAGGTTTCGCTAAGGTGCAGCGAAGCAGACATCCTTCAAGCCTGCGAAAAGCCAGAGCGAGTGCTTATCAGTCTTGGGGCATGGGCGAGCTCCGTATGCCTCGATCCATCATTACCGTTTGTTTTCTGATTGAGTACTACGGCAATGGGCCGGGCTCAGATTCAGTCGGTCAACCGGTCAACAGCTTGTAAACCAGGTCTGGATGCAATCTCAAAAGAGGTTGCTGATAACGAGTTTGTACATGCCTTAGGGTATACGAACATAGCACAAATCAACGAGTCACATTGTGCGAAAAGGACCCCTCCACATATATATATATATATGTGTGTGTGTGTGATTAAGTGCGTATGTGAGTGTGTGGGTATGTGTATATATATACATATACATGCATACATACATACATACATACATACATACATACATACGTGCTTACATACATACATACATACATACATACATACATACATACATACACACATACATATATACCTACATACTTACTTACTTAGTTACCTAGTTGCCCATGTATACATATATGCACATATAGTTTTATATTTGATCCATATGTGTGTTTGTGGGCGTCTCCGTGTGCTGTATGTGGAGGATGCACCTACGTGTGCGCTTGTATGTTTGTATGTGTGTTTTTATACGAATATACAACTATGTATGTATATATATATATATAGATAAATAGATAGATAGATCGATGTGCATATCTCTATCTATATGTACGTATACATATGTATACAAAGTACATACATGCAAATACATGTTTCTGTTTATGGGAGTTGTATGTAGGGCCGTTTCCATATCATTCAATATGGGGATCGATGACACATTCGCATTTCACAAATTTGCATGTGTGGGTGAGGAAGTTCTCATATGCGGCAGAGGTAGAGGAGCTGTAGCTCTGGCTGGGCACGATATGTATACATGAGGCATGATCTGAACAACAGTATTGGATTTCAGAGGCTTGCGGGTGGGATGACAAGCTTGTATTGAGCAGAATGAAAGTATATCATGACGCTGGTTTCGCGTAGAACAACAAAGGCATGTTGGAGTTGGTCAACAAGACAAGGTGTTTTTTGTTGTGCTTTTGTGCTCGGTCACATGGACATAGGTAGGATAGAATTATGTGTTTTGGGAAGGCTCGGGTAAGCCGCCCCGCATGCACCATGCAGTTGTCATACGAGATGTCATCTTTCGACACTAGTGTAGTGCAACTTCGGCATGTTTACCTTCAGCCAGTTGTTTTAGCTCTGCAGGCCGCAGACCTGGCATCACATTAGCTCACAGGTTGTGCTAGCTATATGTACCCCTATCTTTGTATACTTACGGTTTCTCAGGCAGCCCGATGGGTCCTAACAGCCACGGCAGACGTGCAGCCCTTGGATTTGCACTGCTTCTCAGGTCACTTCCAGAGCCCGTAGCCATCATGGAGCCTGACAACAGAAAGTGACGCAGCCGAACAAGTCTTTCATACGCCCTTGCATGGGATTGAATTCTGTCCTCGATCCCGAGACCTCTCAAGCCCGAATCGCAATCCCGGACCCGCAGTTCCTGCAACAGTGGAGCCCTCGTTGCTGGGAGGTGCTCCAGGTGGAAGCAAGTTCAGGTCTGCCCGTGGATGTGTGAATGCATGACTGACCATTATTATAAATGAAATGAACTTCACGGCGTTTCTCCGAGCCAATCGTGGCACATACTGCGAATCCGAGGCGTTCCCTCGTATCCGAAGGCATTCGATAGGTCCCTGTGATCCTACCTCTCGTGTTTTCTACGTGTTTGTTCGCTTGCGCAATGATACACCTCTGGATCCAGGGCAGCTCAAGTAACAAGATGGCGTTTCGTGTTGGTCCAATGCACATCCCAAGCCAATTCTTGAACAGAATCCGGCAATGCAGCCCTCAACAGTGCAGCATGCGCCGATGAAGTTGGCAGAATCTCGCCTGAATCTCTGCTCCCCAGTCCCAGCGCCTTCCACACTTGAAGATCTTAAGAGCAACAACGAGGGCATCCTGGGAACCCTGAATGGAGCGTCCCTTACACCCGGTCGCCTTCTCGAATGTCAGATTCCCAAAGATCACATTCGAGATAAGCCCAGGTGCATCAAGGATGACCCACCTTTCTGGAACCGGCCGAGAAAACAGATTTCTGGTACCCAGGCTGCACAGTGTCCTGTCGCTGCACTGACAGGCGGCCTGGCACACAGCAGCAGTAGCAACATCCACGACTGACAGGGTCCATGTTGATTGGTATCAAGGCCATGCAAAAATGAGAGCACCGACAGCAGCAATAACTACAACAGTCTCAAGAGTCACAATGAAAGTTCACCACCGTCATCACAATCGCCATCATGGTGGTAAGGGAATTTGTGATAGCATTGTTCGTAGCAAGCGTAGCAAAGCCAGCACTACTGAGCCACTACTGGCCACGATAGCTCCCTGACTGTATCCAAGAGTCAGAGCCTGACGCCAGGCTTGCCCAGAAGCTTTTGCATTATCAAGATCACCTATACGGATCCCTGACATGAGCAGAGTTTGTCCATCTTGTGACGTCGCGACCCCAATTCAGAAGCTCAGGTGGTATGGTCGTAAAGCCCCAAGCTTGAGGCAGCAGCTCCAATGCTGAGCAACGCTTCGTCCCATCGGAGCATCGCCCCAGCATCATGTCACAAGCTGGTGCCTTTGCTCCGTTATTGCGGTGTACTGCCCTTTTTGGATTTGACTTCCTGCTGTTGAAGATCACGGCTTGTGGCTCGTTCAGGTCGTTGGTTTTGCTTCTGAAGCAGAGGGCTTGTGTGATCCTGTTCTGGCTGGAAGGGTTCTTGAATAGGTGGTTTGCCTCAAGCATGGATGGGTCACGCTTACTTGATATGCAACACATGAATACAAACATATTGTGTATATATATATATGTATGTATGTATGTATGTATGTATGTATGCATAACTGGTTACAGGATTTCTGTTCGGTTGTGCATGCCTTCGTAGACATCAACATATGCATGCATACGTACACGGAGATTCGGACCATCTTACGATCCTTTCGACGGAGCATCTACCTTTGTCAGCATGGAAGATCTCGAAATGTTGCGCCCAGCCACGCCAAGGCTACAGTTCACTGGATATGAAGGGATCCATTTGGCGACTCTTGCCTGCCCTGCGTCAGGTGGCCACTGGCCAGGGCTGAAAGGTTTTAATTGGAATGCTACAAGTAGCATTGATGTCCAGGTGCCTTGAAGTGCGTGTGACCCTTAGCTTTGTCAGCTGACAGCGGATGCTAAGTGCCTCCCTAGGAAAACTACTTCTACATGTTTGGAAACTTAGTAAGCTTCTTTCGTGTACTCGATGGCAACTAGCATCTTTCTGCAAACATGCAAGGTTTTCCCTGGTAGTCGTAGCTCTTGGAACGGCCGTAACTTTCACGATGCACGGGCTCATCGGCAGGAAGATCAAAAGCCGACCCATTCCGAAGCAGCGCAAGGCGAGACTGCTTGACGCTGAACATGTTTGGTCCAACCGGGACTCGGAAACCTTGTAGTAGCAAAGAGGTGGCGACGATCACAACACATCTCCGCGGCAAGTCTCCAACAAGCCAAGGTTTCATTCCATTCCTGATGACAGGTTAACAGTTGTAAAACTCCTGTGAAACAGCATGCAGCCTTGGTTTGCCAAACTTGCTGACAAGGAAAGGTCTTGATTCAGTCGATGCTGCGCGACGAGTCTGTCGTGCCATGATCCTGACTATGGATTTTGTCAGGGATAAGGTCTTAAAGAGGGCGAGAGAAATAGGCCGGAAGTGCCTATATTGGAGAGTTGTTTGGACCTTGCAGTATCTCCGACTCGGGAGGGCTTCTCCGCAGCATCGATGCACACATGCGGATGAGCAGCATCGCATAGAGTTTGAAGTGCCGACGACTTCGCTTCCACAGTTTGCCCCACTTGAAAGTTTGAGTCAACTGGTGCAATCGCCGTATATCCTGTGTCCATTGCATGTGCAAGTTCATGACTCGAAGTCACTTGGCCCGATGAAGAAGTAGACACGGGTAGGCAGAGAGAAGCGCTTTGATGGAATTTGCAGATGTTCGCGTCGCTGTCAAAGGTTCAGCACGACTTCTACGAGCAGCATGGCTGCCGCTGCGAGTCCTGGACACAGCTCCGCCGCTCTTCTCCCCATTGGTGGTCAATGCAGCGTCACATTCGTAACATTTGTAGATACACAAGTAGCGACAATAGCGGCTTGATGAAGTCAATGCACATCATATGCACACACAAATACATTTACATGTATGTTTGTGCGTGCATGTGCATGTGCGTGTGTGTGTATGTATGTAT